AAAAAAACAATTGGTACTGAAAATAAGCTTAATTTTTCTTTATGCAAAAAAACAAAAACAATCTGGGGTAAAATGAAACCAAATTAAACCATAGAAATGTAATTCAAGACATTTAGAGGAAAAATGAATGTTAATGTCCCTTACTTCATAGGCTTCTGCCAGCTTGGCAAACTTCTCTTTTGCGTCAGGGTCATCTGGGTTGGTGTCTGGATGGTATTTCTTGGCCAACTGGGTGAAAATACTCACAGTGTTAAACTCCCAGTGAGCCATCTTTAAAAAATATGAAACTTATGTCACAAGGGTTGTCAAACCTGGTAGTAGGCTTTCTTAATGTCTTTCTGAGAGGCAGTCCGAGGAACCCCCAAAACATCATAGAAGTCCTGCTGATGGCAACCAGAAGTAGTGTGGAAGAAATGAGAGCTGAAAACACTGTGGCTTCTCAACACTGAAAAATACAAACACACAATCAACATTAACGTAGGACGAATATTTGCTCAAATAATTGTATTAGTTGTTGCAGAACAGTCGATGTCAGCTGAGATTTTTCAGCCATTTTTTTCAGCAGTTTACATCATTACGCCAGTAGGTGGTGACAGGTGTATTAGTTTGATTTTATTTTTTTGGACCGGTGTATTAGTGATCCATTTTTCTGAAACATTTCAGGTGGACTTTCGTATAACTTTTTTTAAACATTACTAATTACTAATTTCAGATGATTCTGAGAACATTAAAACTGAGCATTCCCATAGAGTTTGCAAACAGAACATTCCCATAACCTAGAAAAACTAGTTTTTTTAACATAAAAAACTGGATGTTTTGAGCGTTCAGAAATAACATTTTAATAACCTAAACTAATTAGCAAAACACTTAGAACATATTTTTTGTTAGCTGGAACGCTAGTATGTGGTTCAGGATTCATTCAGGAATGGAGCGAGTCTTTATGATTGAATCATCGAATCATTCACTCGGCCAATTTGTTCAAAAACACTGATTCATTTAGTGACAGTTGTACTTCTCGGAGGCTCGCAAACATGTTGTTGATCCTGTAGTGAGTTTGTTTGGAATTATTTTCTTTGGCGGGGCAAAAACAGACATATACCTAAAAGGTAATTAAGTTACTCAACATGAACCTATTATTTGTTGACCCTTGAGCACAAAAAAAGCCAAAAATACATTGTATGGGTCAAAATGATCAATTTTTCTTCTATTCCAAAAATCATTAGGATATTAAGTAAAGATCATGTTCCATG